AGTTAGATGGCAAGCCAGATGAGATTGAAGAGAAGGTTTGGAAAAAGATGAATCGAACGGCGTGTGGTGTGATTAGGTCTTGTTTGACTCAAGATCTAAAATATGATGTGATGAATGAGACTTCTGCAAAGAAGATTTGGGAGATTCTCGAAAGCAAGTATTTGACCAAGAGTGTGGAAAATCGCTTGCATTTGAAGAGGAGACTTTATCGTTTCCAGTTGAAGAAGGGAACCTCCATTAGAGATCACATGAACCACTACACAAAGCTTCTTGCGGATTTGGCGAATGTGGATGTCAAGATTGAAGATGAGGACAAGGCGTTGCTGTTGTTGAGTTCCTTGCCCGACGAGGAATATGAGACCTTCGTCCTTACTCTGATTAATGGGAAGGCATCACTTTCGTATAGTGAGGTCACTGCTGCACTTGTGAATTATCAGCTTCGAAAGAAGGATAAGGAGGCTTCAGTGGCATCCCTTTCGTATAGTGAGGTCACTGCTGCATTGGTGAATTATCAGCTTCGGAAGAAGGATAAGGAGAATTCGACTGAGTCGGTAGCAGAGGCGTTGGTCGCAAGAGGGAAGAATCCAAACCGGAAGAATTGGAAGTCACAGTCTAGAGTAGGGCATCCTACAATTGGAAAAGATCGGTGTGCTTGGTGCAAGGAGACTGGTCATTGGAAGAAAGACTGCCCAAAGCTCGACGAATGGATGAAGAATAAACAGAAGGGAAAAGGGAAGCAGCCATCATCAGGAGCAAAGAAGTTCACGCGGCTGTCATTGCGTGGGGGCCACGAGAGTTGGGCAAAACGCGTTTGTGGGCAAAGCGCGTGAACAACACAAATTTGTGGCCTACCCGACTTTTGTGTATATATAAGTCCTATTCAATTCCTAGGGTTTCGGGCTTGGTGCAATTGAAGGGGGTTGCTGGGAACTTTTGGTGGCTGCGGCAGAAGTGCAGGGAAGAAAACCGGCTATCTATTCTAGGGATTTGTGGGGGTTTTTGTGCAGTTGTTCTAGGGTTCTGTACATCCCCTTTTCGAGAGGAAGAGCAAATATCCCACTTTGATGGGATATTAGGCTTTCAGATTCTTGTTCCCTTTGAGAAACTGAATTACTTGAGGAAACAGTTTGAGGGATATGCACTGCAGTGGTGTTTGAGATAGAAGTGATCGGTTTTTTGGTAAATATAGGGTAATGTCGTATTTTCAAGTTATATTTAACGGAAAATCTAAAAAAGTTAAAGTAGAACTAGGTTTACATCTAATAAGGGGTACAAGAACTACCTTGAGAAAAATAAAGTATGAGAAACCAATTTGAATATTAGGCCCTAGTACAGGGACTAATTTGGTATTTAAGCCTTTAAAATAAAATTGGTATATATTTAAAATTGAATTTGGATAGATTTAATAAATATTAAATTTGAAAAATTCTAAAATTAGCATATGAGTGTCGTGTGACGACATTCTGATGAAATTTTTTCATGTTTCATAATGGAGCATATTAATATGTTAATTTTAAACAACTTAGTTATATGAATGTTTAAAGAAAAACAATTGAGGATATATATCTAGAATAGAATAAATAAATTTCTAGATAAGGTATGTTTTAGGGATTAAATCCAACTTAACTCTAAATATATTATTAGATTAACTAATACCATAATGTTACAATAATTAAGATGGGCAGATAGTCTAAAAAGCCCCTAGGATTTACTCCCTTTATCTAATTAAGAAGCCCTTATGTTTTTATTTTTGACAAGTGAGGCCTAATTTTTACCTTATTTTCTAAGAAGTTATCAACATTCTTTTTTTTACAACGAAACCCCTAACTTTTACCTTTTTCTTCTAGAAAGCCCTTAAGTTTTAACTTCTCTTCTATGAAGTCCTCAAGTCTTTTTGTTAACTTAGATGTTTTGTTGTCAAGAAAAGAAAGTTGGGGGCTTCTTAAAAAACTCGGGGGCATATTTGTTAAAATAGAAAGCTAGGGGCTTCTTATTAAAGATGGATAAAATTTATAGGCTTCTTTGTCAGAAATAGAAAGTTAGGAGCTGCTTAATAGGGGTGGAAATGAATCAAATAATTAACAAATAGTTCGTTAATTTTTTGAGTAATTATTCAATTATATTCAATTCAATAGTTCATTTAATACTAAACAAATTATTTTTAGCATTCAAGTTTGTTAACGACTAAAATTTAACTAGATATATATATTCAATTTTATCAAATATTCGTTTAAAGTTTGATCACTTTCAATTTGCATAATTACACACATGATGTTATTTTTTTAATTCTACTTATTGTTTGTACTTAAGTTTTATGTACTAATTTTGGGAGACTTAAATAATATTAAATCAATTTTCTAATAAAATATTCAAATTATAGATACACACGCATCATAGTTATATCTACAGATACACATCATAGTTATAAAGGAATAATTTTTATTTACAAATTTAAATACTATTTAAAATCAAATTCTTTATATATATAGATATAACTATGATGTGTGTGTGTGTGTGTGTATATATGTATTTGATGGCTATGAGGTGGTGGATCATTTAGCAAAATAAGCTACCAAAAGATAGATTAGTAAGACCCACATCTTTTGATGTGACAAATAGAGTGGCCTTCACTACATGACTCTCTTGGTAGCTTATTTTACTAAATGAGCCGACATATCATACCCATTTTTTCATTTACACACACACACACACACACACAGTCAATTATATCCAGTATCGGAGAATTTTGTTCAGTATTGAAGAAGGGATCACTTTCTTCCCTGACTTTATGTCTGGTTCTTGAGTTAGGTATTTGAAAAATATGCACAAGTAGAAATTCATAAGAGGGTGAGGTTTGGTTTCCCCGTTGTACATCCGACGATCAAGTTAGCTGATGAACTTGAGTGGGGTTTGTAAGAATTGTGGCAATTCTTGTGTGTGTGCAGTTTTATTTGCAAAATCGGGGAATCCGGTTCCGGAAACAGAATTGGTGGTGTGATCATTTAACATCAACAGTTGAGTGGGCCAAACTATTGATGTTAAATGATCACACCGCTAATTCTGTTTCTGGAACCTGATTCTCCGATTTTGCAAATAAAACTGCACACACGCAAGAATTACCATAATTCTTACAAACCCCACTAAAGTTCACCAGCTAACTTGATCGTCGGAAGTACAACGGGAGGAACCAAACCCCACCCTCTCACAAATTTCTACATGTGCAGATTTTGTAGATATCCAACTCAAGAACCAGACATAAAGTCAGGGAAGAAAGCGGCCCCTTCTTCAATATTGAACAAAATTCTTCGATCCAGAGCATAATTGACTGTGTGTGTTGGGGAAAACCCGTGTCGAGGAACCAAACCAACCGTCGATCAAAAAAGGCAAAATCCAACCAAAATCAATGCACAAACACCAAACACCAGTTTTAACGTGGTTCGACAATTGTCTACGTCCACGGGACAAGAAGGGGATGTGGTTTTTCACTAATAGAGAATAAGAGTACAAATTGAGATTACAAATCACTCAAAGGAACAAACTAATCTCACCACAAAGCTCTTAATCTCTCCAAATAAACCCTAAACAAATAGCTCAGAAAATACCTCTTTTCTGTGCTCTTAATATCCCAAACTCTAGCCTTTTAAAACCCTCGAACGTATATTGGTATTTATACAAACACCAAAATCCAAATCAGAACAAGAAACTCAAACTGGGCCTGACCCGTTAAGCGGTCGACCGCGACCAACAAACAAAACCTGGAAACTCCTACAGGTTCTGGCGGGCGACCGTGGCGGTTGACCGCGACAAACGACAGAGCCCAAAAATGTCCTATAGGGTCTCGCGGTCGACCGCGCCAAATCCAGACTCCTCCCAGAGTCTGTGCACGTTCGCAGTCGACCGACCTTGCGTCGCGGTCCACCGCGCAGCTCCCAAACTGAGTCCTGCGGATCCCAACACCTGTTCTTCACCAAACTTCTTCACGGTTTCTTCAGTGTGATCATTTAACATCAAAACACACACACACACATCATAGTTACAAATGAATAGTTTTTATTTATAAATTTAAATACTATTTATAATCGAATTCTTTAGCAGAATGAATATATTTTGATATTCGATAAGTATTCGTGAATATTCATGAATATTTATTACATACTGAGTATTCAAGTTCTAATTCAAAAAAAAAAAACTTTAGATATGGATATTTGAATTCCAGTTCGAATTCGATAATTTTTAACAAATATAGATACAAACACCCTATTATTCAATTCGATTCAATTGTTCCTCAAGCCTGCTTCTTTTTAGAAAGGATTAATTGCCTATTAGTCCCTTAAATCATTTCTAATTAAGAAATAGTCCTTCAAAACTCATTATTTACTTGTTAGTCCCTTAAATCTTTAGTTTTCTTGCAATATGATCATTCTGTTAGAAAAACTGTCAACTTCTCTAACTCTAGTTGTGTCAATGCTTAACTTAACAACTCAAGTTACCTTTATTGCCCCTGCGGTATTTATTGCCCTTGTAAGTTTTGGGTTTAGAGTGAAGCTAGCCATGGAAACGACCTTGATTTTGGGTTTGGGGGAAGCATGAGAACATTGATGAAGAAAGAAGATGGATTTAAGTTGGTATAAGTGGGGGTATAATGGGTATTTTACCTAATTTCGTCACATTTAACGGTCATTAATAATACCACCCAACACGAGGGACGGATTGGCAAGAAAACTGAAGATTAAATGGACTAATAAGCAAATAATGAGATTTGAGGGATTAGTTGGCAATTAAAGATGATGTAAGGGACCAATATGCAATTAACCCAATTTAGAGGAGTAAAGCTTCAGGACTCCAGAGACTATATTCTCATAATTAGAGACGTAGGGGCTATTGTGCAAAAAAAATCTCACTCGCATACTGTCGCCTCGTTACTCCGAAGTGCTTTAGAGGGACCCCACAGAAAAAAAAATCTCACTCGTATATAATTATTAGAGACGTAGGGGCCAAGTCTTATTCTCTTTAAATCTCTTTAAACCGCTTCACAAAACTTAAAAAAAAAAATCCTCTCTCCTCTTCAGAAATTGAAGAGGAATCCATCGATCGATCTGCTAGCAATCTCTCGCCTCGACTCAATCACTCTTTTAACAACTTAAAGGTACTCAGATTCTCACTAGATCTCTCTTTGTTTCGAATTTTGTAGTTAGGGTTTCTATTCTGGGAATAAAGATTGAAGTCTTCTAGGGTTTTAGATTTAGCGCCGAAATCAGATAGTTTAAGATAGTTTTCTAGTGTTCCCCTTTCCGCCTTTATTGGTGATCTGGCGATGTCGATGCCCTCCGACCGTGGAACTCCAGCGATCCTCCTGTCACCAATCTCAGTCTCTAGAAATTAAAAGGAACTGTCTTTTTTTTCTCCCCTTTATCCTTTAGTTGATTGATCAGCTAGCTCCAGTCTTCATTTTGGTTTTGTAAAGCTGCTGACTTGAAGCTTCGGCTTCATGGTCGCTGCAGAAAGCAGCGGCCTAGTGTCTTGAGAGCGGAAAATCATGTTACAGTCTGTGTAATAGATACGTGTTAGTTATTAATTGTATTTTTTTTTCTTATTTAATTGTATAGCTGTTAGTTTATTAGTCTTTAATTTCATGAATTTTGATGAATTCTGTAGCGGATTGCATGTGATTTTTATGGGTTATTTTTGTAAAATAATGTGGCTTTGGTGCAATAAAAGCAGTTAGTAAGAGCGGTTTTTGCTATTACTTCACCTCGAAGTGATAAGGTAATGATGCGTCCCTGTAGATGATCAGCATCGCTTACTATGATATCCTATTTTAAAGTGCTTATAGATAAAAAGAAGAACCAATTTTCAAAAACGACTGAATTTTTTTTTTTTTCATAATCGACTGTTTTTTTTATTTATACAAATCGACCCGCGCTTTTGTGATTAGGAGGTTAATCACTATCCTAAATAGTCGGGGTTGCCAACCCCGACTATTTAGGAGGGTGTTAAACCCTAATTAAAGGGTGATTTGCAGGTTAATCACTATCCTAAATAGTCGGGGTTGCCAACCCCGGCTATTTAGGATAGTGATTAGCCTGCTAATCACAAAACCGGGTCGATTTTGATAAATAAATAAAAAACAGTCGATTTTGAAAAAAAAAAAATCAGTCGGTTTTGAAAAATTGTTCATAAAAAGAATGCTTCTTGGCTACCTAATAATCCAATTCATGGTCTGGGCCTCAAACTGAGATGGGCTTGGTTCTGAGTAATGACATAAACTTTCAAGCATAAAACAAGTTCCTTTGGAGTTGAGAGCAGAACAAGTCTCTTTTGCTGTTGGTTTTCGCATTATGAAGTCAAGTCTATGCCTGAACCTTCTCTAATTATATATCCCCAGTATAAGCAATGCTAATTTGGTGCCCCAACAGTTTTCCTCTGTTTTGGGTGGTGTAGGGTGTGACGTTGAGAATATTAAGTAGTGGTCATCTAATCAGCAAGTTTTGTTGGCTTTGAATGTGGGCAAGGTTTTAAAAGTGAATACTACATGTCAAACAAGGAAAGGGTTATGCAGTTATGCTTGGTGTTATATTTTGTTTTCTCTAATGGCATAGAACTCTTTTTGGTCTGGCTAGAACTAGGTTGAAGTAGATAGGCTGGTGTTAGCATGTTATATATTGGCCCTATCCAGAATTTTTCGCCCAAGCTCATATTAATTGTGTTAGAGTATTCATGGTTTCTATCCTATCCGTGGGTTGAATTATATTATTTCTCAAATATGTTTTTGATCATGAAAAATGTAACATAGTTGATAATGTATTGTCATGTGGTTTTGAGCTTTTCAGATATTTTTCCTATTTGCATCCTTTGCCCTCCTCTATATTAGTGTGTGTTGTTGTGTGGAGTGCATCATCTATTGGGATATTCACTTTGACTTTTTGAGTTGCTTAGAGAGTATTATTCCTACTACCGTCGTGCATTCTTATTTGTTTACATACTTATCTTATGGCCAGATTAGCTATGAACATCCATTGTTTATGCGCTTCGTTGCTAAGTCAGTAGCCTTGGTCACCCCATCTTCCTTACCTCTCTTGTGTGTGCAGTCTTTTGTTCATTTAGGTGTTTCCTATTGTGGAATTTTTTTATTTGAACCTCATTTTTAATTGTGACTATATTTATTCTTAAACTTATTAATGATATTATTTTTCTTTCTTTTCTGCATCAGACACATGAATTTATAATTATTAGGTTTTATGCACGTGGTTAAATATCAAAATATTTTTATTTTATATTTATTTGACTAATATTAATGTTGCAGCACCTGTACATGGTTATAAATTAAAAGTTGAGGATGCACATGCAAATTACATATTCAGGATCAAAAGATAAACATGCTAACAGACATATTCGTGAAGGATGTGTATGTGATAAAGCCTTGTGCATTATTTGACTCAATAGGCATTCAATTAACCATATTTCTTAAATGTTCACAAACTAACCGTGAATATATGGTACATATGGTGATCCATAATAAGTTGCTTTCCAAAGAGCGACTCTCTTTGGTTTACCATCGAGAGGATTGAAAGCATTATTATCGAGGCGTAAGGCGCAATGCGGGGCGCAAAGGCCCCCTTCGCGCACCATGCGCAAGGCGCATAACAATGCGTGCGCCTCACTAAATTGAGGCGCACAACTCAAACTAATATTTTTCAACATAAGACAAAGAAGCATATAAGCAACATGTTTATAAATTGTCACATAAAAAAATCAAGAAATATAATTTCACCGACTAAATCACGAAAGAAATTAGCATGCATAACATAGAGAAGTTCATAAGTTTTCACAAATCACAATACAAGATAATCTCCAACATAAGCAAAAGTCTATGAAACAAAACAAGCAAGTTGCAAATAAGAAATATGTATTTTCATTTAAAATATGATATATGTATTTTTAAGTAACAATCAAGTGATTAAAAAACATGATTGTTCATAATTTTCTAGTTAGCATTCTTAATTGCTATTTGCTAGTTAGCATAAAAAGATAGAGAATGGATGTAACAATTACATATTCATAATTTTTTAGTTAGCATGCTAATTAGAGAATGAAGTTACAATTAGCAAACAAGTATACTAAATTACTAATTATTGTTTTCTTTTTATAGGTTAAACATGAAAAGATGGAGAATGGATTAGCAACTAACAATAAAGAGTCTATTACATGATGTAAATATGTAATATGTAAATTATTTTAAAAAAACAAAAGAAAGAGTCGATTACATGACGCAGGTGTCAAGCGCGTGCAAGGCGCACGCGAGGCGCACACAAGGCGCGCACCTTGTGTGCGTGCAACGTCCCGCCTCTGGTGTGGGGCGCAATTGCCCCAGCCCGTAGCGCCCCGCGCCCAGGGCGAGCCCGGCGCGCGCGCCTCGATAACAATGATTGAAAGGACCCTTTTTTTTGTCTTTTCATTTTGAAAGGTTGCTTGATTTTCCAATACAAATGCAATGTCTAGCATAGTTGCATAATGATAATACATTCATATCAAATTTCTATCCAATAAAGTTGAGTTTATTTCATGAAAGCTCCAAAATTAATCCCAATTAAAATAACTTTCATGCTTTGTATTAATAGTTTTCACTCTTACTTTTTAAGTTTTCTTGTATATTCGGTGTCATCATACTGCCAATTGATTTAGACCCACTACTAACTCCTAATTGCAACACTTCACTTCCCTTCATTCATGCCTGAATTATCTAAAACAGTTCTCCTTATATCCATGTGAGCAACCTCTTTAACTTACTACAAACTCTGCTCTTTCCTTATCCTATATCTTAGGCTTTGTTCGGTCAAGAGAATTATAGCATAGAAGTTTTGCATTTTAGAAGAGGCAAAAGTGAAACCTTACGTGTCATCCAAGATTTGTGGCGCTGCTCTCCGGGTTTTAGTACCTCTTGGCTGAGCTATGTTACAAAAGAAGGACGCACGCAGACCATGTTTTTGTGCATAATTATTCTGGAACATAAGTTAAATTAATACTTTACGTCATATTTCATACTCTACTAATCCCAAGATATAATATTGAGTCAAGCATGAATAGCAATATCATTATGAACTAATGTTCTAGTAAAAATTAAACACATTTCTTATTACATTGAAAATAAAATTGCACAACACATTGGGACATTATAAGATCATGTTATATAATAAACAATCTCAACAGTAATCATTAAAAAAGTATATATATATACTACCTTGTGAGTTCCAAGTGGATTGGGATATTTTAAAACATATGTACGTGGATTGAGATTATTATTTGTTAGTATATACTACCTTGGATTAAGATAAGAATAAATCATTAAATACAATTTAAAAATTAGAATTTGATTAGTGAAAGGATAGTTCAAACTTTATAGGAGTATTTTTGTCTACCGAAAGATTTTTTCGAACTTGTGCTTTTAAAGATCAAATCCCTAATCCCTAAATACTGCATGAAAACCGAAAAAAATCAAAAAAATATCTATTACCATAAAACTAATTGTAATGCAAAACAAGTATCACCATTAAATCAAATACAAATATTACTAAAGAATAATCATGAAAATAAAAAAGGAACACATATATGTTGAAGGAGATGAAGTTACTATGAAAATTATGTAATTTCTTGGTTTATATATAGGCATGAGGTGTAGCATGTGATAGGATAATAGTCATAATTAGAGTTCTTATTGTACAAACATTTATAATTTAAAAATTAGAATTTGATTAGGATTGTGTTTCATTGTTTATTTTGAATTTATAGATAAATGTTTAATAATTATTTAAATATCAAAATAACATACATATAACTAACGATAAATAATGTTAAATAATTATTGTGATCAAATTAATCAGTGGATTAGGATTATTATTGTGATCAAATTAATCAGTGGATTGGGATTATTATTGTGATCAAATAAGATATATAACTAATGTGGATTGGGATATTTTGAAGTATAATATAATTTATAGATGTTTTAGTATATACTACCTTGTGAGTTCCAGGTGGATTGGGATATTTTTAAAACATATGCACGTGGTTGGGATTATTATTTGTTAGTATATACTATTTTGGATTAGGATTAGAATAAATCATTAAATACAATTTAAAAGTTAGAATTTGATTAGTGATAGGATAGTTCAAACTTTATAGATGTATTTTTGTCTACCGAAATATTTTCCCGAACTCGTACTTTTAAAGGGAGTATGATGTATGCCTAGTTGCCATAGATTTGCATCGAGGATCAACTTCAAGCTTTTAAAGAAACACGAATTCTTTATTTTCCATATATTTTTATTTCTTATTATTTAAAGAAGTGATATGGTCTATGTTATTTTTTGAGGGCATAATATTAATTGATTAGACTAGGGATAATTTCTAAGCAGAAAGGTGGAGAGATAAAGCTCTTAACTAAAGGATTAAGAGTTAATAAAAATAATGAGTGTATAGTTAATACTGACGTCAAGAAATACCTAGAAGTGGTCATGTTTTCAATTTAGGATCAAATGTTCGTTAAGACAGTGAGATTAAGGATAACGTGGTTCATCAAATGAAATCAGGATCTTTAAAATGGAGCATTGCTTTAGGAGTTCTATGTGATGTAGAATATTTATGAAATTGAAATAAAAGGAGCAGCACTGATTTTTTATGGTTTAGAATTTTGAAAATCAAGGAAACAACTTGTGTAGATAATGAGTATAGCATAAATGAAAATGTAATGATGGGTGTGTTTTAAGGGAGATAATAAGAAATGAATACACAAAGTTAGAGGTTGCTCCTATTGAAGATATAACAAGAGAGATGCGTAGTGGAGCCAGTAAATGCACCAATTAGAAGAAGGGTCAATATTTAGTTGATGGAGCAAAGAGACTATTAAATAGGCTTAAGTAAAATTAGCTGGAAACAGCTAAGAAGGAGATGTAGTGGTTAACTTTATGTAGGAGATAATCCTTAAGAGAATTCATATAGCCAGTCTAGCCAGTCCTAAAACTATGGGAACTTTGGGATGGATACTAAATTGTTTCTAAATTTATTTGTTTGAGTTGAAATCTTCATGTAATAGCTTTAGTGAAGCTTTGTGTAAAAAATTGGGATGTAAAAAATTGGCATCCATAACTGGCCTCATTGTGAGACTAAATGCTTAGAAGATTATGCTAAAACCTTATTTGTGCATTTCTAGTTTTCTAAAACTACTTACATTTCGTTGACCTCTTTCTCTATTTGAGTATGTTCTGTTGTGTCCTGAATGCAACTGCAGAAAATGTCGGGAATGGCACCAGAAGGATCTCAATTTGATGCACGTCAGTATGATGCCAAAATGAATGACCTGTAATAATCTTTATTATTTCTCCTCCCTACTAACACATTTCTTTATATTTTCTTTTTTTAATGTACCCTGTTTGTGGTTTTTTTTAATCTCAATACAGGCTTACATCAGATGGGCAGGACTTTTTTACCTCATATGATGAGGTTTATGATAGCTTTGATTCGATGGGTCTTCAAGAAAATCTGTTGAGAGGGATTTATGCTTATGGTAACCATCATTCTTTTAACGTGCTAATAATGTTGAATATTCACGATTCAACAACTCCTTATTTCTATGGCTGACTTCTTACGGACTAACAATGAAATATTCTCTAGGATTTGAAAAACCATCTGCAATTCAGCAAAGAGGGATTGTTCCTTTCTGTAAGGGACTTGATGTTATCCAACAGGCTCAATCAGGAACTGGAAAAACTGCAACTTTCTGCTCTGGAATTCTTCAGCAGCTTGATTATACTGTGGTTGAGTGCCAAGCTTTGGTTCTTGCCCCAACTCGAGAACTTGCCCAGCAAATTGAGAAAGTTATGAGAGCATTAGGTGATTATCTTGGAGTGAAAGTTCATGCTTGTGTTGGAGGAACTATTGTCCGCGAGGACCAGAGGATTCTTTCTAGTGGCGTTCATGTAGTCGTTGGTACGCCAGGTCGTGTATTTGACATGTTGAGGAGGCAATCTCTGCGTCCCGATTACATCAAGATGTTTGTATTAGACGAGGCAGATGAAATGCTTTCACGCGGTTTCAAAGACCAGGTTCTGCCTTTGCTTTTCATATTTTTGTTGGTTTGTAAGTCTTTGTGATTTACTTTGGTCCAGACATAAATTGTGCAAATTATCTTGCTAGCATGCACAAATACATCCATTACCTTATGTTTTGAATTTAATGAAACATGCAAGATGGTTTCATGTGATTCCAGGATCAAGTTTCATCGTTGCATATCCTATTTGTGTGGCTTATTTATAAAATATTTTCATTTTGCTCTGAGAAGATGTTCATTGGAAACCACACAAATGCACACAAACACATACATACACCGGAAAAAACTGTTAGAGCCTCTTAGCCGATATACCCATTTGTGCTCGTGTCTTTTTGTTGAAACATATTTTCATTTTTCTCAGAGATCATATTCATTGGTACTCAACACAAATGCACACAGACACATGCATACGTGGCAAGTCAGTTAGAGCTTCCAGCCTATGTATCCATTTGTGCTCGGTACTGACATTTGTGTTCCTAAAACGCAATGCGGACAAATTATAATAAATGGTTCACATTATTTATCATCCTCTGCACATCCTCAAACGTTTACGAACCAGAAATCATTTCCCTTGTATGGTTGCAAGAATGAACGCACATATATAAATACCTAATCTCAAGACTATTCTTTTTGTTATCAAATTCGTTACTTATATTCCTTATGTTTTGTGGAAGAAAGATTCCTAGATGTTTCCATCTGCAATCCTGGTCAGAAATTTTGCTTGTACAGTAATATCTGGGGTTCCAGGACCAGTCACTCCTGCATGCCATGTTCAGGGATGACTTTGTATCACCTTTTGATATTGCAATGCTTTTGATCAGGAAAAATATATAAAATCCTGAAATTTCACTTTGTGGTTGTTTGCTAAATGAAAGGATTAACTAAATAAATAAACAAAATAATAAAATCTCCGATTTAAGGGAGTGTTTATTAACTTGAGAATTTCTATTTGAGACACGAGATGCAATTTTGAATTTCTATTTGAGACACACGAGATGCAATTTTTAACAGGTGACTTGTCAGCTTTTAGTAGATAAAATGTTTGTTATTTTGCTGGTGTGCGTCAGTAGTCTTTGTTATTTCTCATGTAGAATTCTCATGCATGCTCTTCTTGATGGCATCTGTTGTTAGCTTGATGGCATCTGTTGTTAGCTTGTTGGTTTACTCTACTGATTTTTGTTATTTCTCATGTAGATTCTCATGATATGATCTTGTTGTCAATAACATATGGTCAAATACTATATTGGATCATTTCTCTTTCTGAAGATACTGTAACCTAAAAGTCTCCGATCTCGTTGATTTCAATGACGTATGGTCAAACACTATATTGGATCATTTCTCTTTTTAAAGATACTTAACTTTAATTTTTTGAATATGCTTTTCATAACAGTGACATTCGTTTTGTGTCAACTTTTATGGAAAGACTAGTATTAAAAAGTTACTGTTCTTTTCCCATTGGTCATGATTCTATTTTTGTTTCACACATCAGAAAAGGTAGGTTATTTTTTCTTTTTATCTTTTGTCTTTCGTTTGTATAAGTGCTAATGGAGGGTGTGTGCCAGTCTTACCTTCATTTTCGTGCATGTCCACACAGACCCCATAAATTAGAAGGTTTTGTTCCTAACATCCATAAACTGTATAGGTAATTCAATTGTCACTGAACTTGCATTGATTCTCATAATGACACCTACTTTCTCATAATTGAATTATTTATAGGGCTTCCCCTTTTTCAGATCTACGACATATTCCAGCTTCTTCCTTCAAAGGTCCAGGTCGGAGTTTTCTCTGCCACCATGCCCCCAGAGGCACTCGAGATAACTCGCAAGTTCATGAACAAACCTGTGAGAATCCTCGTGAAACGGGACGAACTTACACTCGAAGGTATCAAGCAATTCTATGTCAATGTTGAAAAGGAGGAGTGGAAACTAGAAACCCTCTGTGACCTCTATGAAACTCTAGCCATCACTCAGAGTGTCATATTCGTAAATACCAGGCGCAAGGTTGATTGGCTCACCGACAAGATGAGGAGCAGAGATCACACAGTTTCAGCCACCCACGGGGACATGGATCAGAACACTAGGGACATTATTATGAGAGAATTTCGTTCTGGGTCTTCTCGTGTTCTTATTACTACTGATCTCCTTGCTCGAGGTATTGATGTTCAGCAAGTGTCTTTGGTCATTAACTATGATTTGCCGACTCAACCGGAGAACTATCTTCATCGTATTGGACGAAGTGGGAGGTTCGGGAGGAAGGGTGTCGCGATAAACTTCGTGACACGTGATGATGAGAGAATGTTGTTTGATATCCAGAAGTTTTACAATGTGGTGGTTGAGGAGCTGCCTTCTAATGTTGCTGATCTCCTGTGATTTGATGATTAGTTTGTGTTTTTCATCGGACTTATATTTACACGCATATTTTAATAATGCTTATCAAACTTGCTTTGATTCTCTTGAGGAGTTAAGAGTCTGCTTTATTCGCGATGATGGTGATCGAAAGCTAAGCATTTTCCGTAAATTTTGTAATGATGGTCGTGGTAATGTTATAGCAGGCATATGGATCAAACATTTTTCTGTAGTTTGTTTTGTTTAGTTTTGTAACTCATCGTGGGAAGGATTATGATGATTTTGAATTTGTGATTGGTAGAATATCCAGTTCTACCTTTGTTTTTGAAATTATATCCTGTATTACTTGGTTTGTTTATTGATTGGGATTGCGGCTAACGCTTTCATTCATAGGTCGATTCTGCATGTATTGTGGTACAATATGGTGTTTGACGTTGCGCTGCGTCTGATTTTGATAGACCTTTTAGTGCACTTGAGTCTAATAAATATTATTTTGATTTGCATAGTTGATATTGTTTCCTTCTCTGAAGGTATCGTATATGTTGGGCTAAGTTTGAAACAGCAGTATGGCATAGATGACTAAGATGAGGTCTTGAAAAAGTATAATGGGGAACAAATTGAGGTGAGTAATCTCATGTACATTGAAACTGGAGACTCCCAACAATCTGGATAGGGCTGTCCACAAAGCTCGTGGCCCGGGCCCGGACCGGCCCGGGTTTTGTTCGGACACTCGGTCCAGGTCCGGACCCGGGCCCGGCTCGGAACAATGCCGGCCTAGGCACCAAAACCGGGTCGGGCGGTCCGGACCCG